CCGCCCCCTGGACCCTCATTGGCTGCCGGGGCGGGAGGGGCGGGGGAACCTCCGAATCCTCCTGGCCTTTCCCTGCGAACCTCAGAAAGGAGGGGGGGGGGTGGCGGAGAGCGAAGCGAAGGACATCCCCAAACAGGAGTTGGGGGGAGTTAAAAAGAAAGTCTATTTTGGGAGAGGTCGAATCAGGCCAGCCTCGGGCTGGCCACTGAGCATGCCCAGAGTCACTTAGAAACCCACAGAAGTTTGAGACTACACACCCCAAGCAGGGGCTTTACTGAGCTCCGGGGGGAAAAAGAGCTGGGAGAGGAGGGTGGAGGGACCAAAGACACACCATGTAAAAATCAGTGTGGAGAGAGCGCAGGGAGACAGAGACGAGCTGGCAAGGGCGTGGGAGGAAAGAAAGAATCCAAGATAGAAGACTTGGGAGCCCGGGTCTGGTTGTGCAACTGAGGAAGTTCTCTGTAAATAAACAGGAGGAAAGTCTTCGGTGTTAAGAAAACAAATAAGAAAATTCTTCGCGGCTCCACTAGTCCCCACCCACCTCCACCTTTACCTCTGCGCGCCTGCAGTTTGCTTGTCCTTTTAAAAAATGCATCTAAACATCATCTTGGTCTATTTTATCGTAATTAGAAAGGTGATGTGCAGAGGAGCTATACAGTTACATTAGTTAGGTAATCAGTCCTTATCTTTTTGATCAGTGTCACCTCTTCCCTCCTTTGCTCCCAGTTTTTCCCTGCTGACCTCTCCCCCACATGTTGTATAGTTCATTTTCAACATAATGTCTAGTGAGTAGCACTGCTGCATTTGTCCACCCTTTGTCCCACCATTTCTGGGCTCCCATAAAAACCTTCCAGCTCCCTAGCTGTTTTTGTTTTGTTTGCAGAACATCGAGATAGTAAGCACTTGTATTTTTTTACGCGGGGACTAATGAACCAGACTGGAGTTTGACTTCTACTCTTTTCTTTTATACATTTACGCCCAGAGACGTGTAGCACTATTAATCAAAATGTAACCATCTGGAAAACCAACTGGATTCATTTCAAGAATTCCAGTGTCTCCTGGAAGTTTCTGGTTTTGTGTGTGTGTATGTGTGTGTTTAAAATTAGAAGTACTCTAATGGCTACTTCCTATTTTTGTTTTGGCTAGTTGATAAAAATCATGATTATTTATTTATTTTTAAAGTCGCCTCCCTAATGGGACTTCAACTATGCAATAGTTAAGCGAAATTTTGTCACATTTAACATGTGAAGTGCAATTTTTAGGCAAGACTGTGTATTTTTAAATCTGAAAAAAGCATGTTTTTAATCTCTCTCCACTTCTCCCCACAACATATATACAAATTTCTAGTCGGAAATGAGACAAGTAATGGAATCCATGCTAGGCAATAACTCTACCCCTAAGCTGCAACCCCAGGTCCAGGCACACAGACACATTTACTTCTTGTCCAAGGATTATTTTAGTGCTGAGGTTTTGAAGTTAGGTTGTTATACTTGTTAGTCAGGTCCTTTACCACTTGAGGCTTGTGTACAGCATTTTTGAAGCTGTACTGGCAGAATTGAGTGTATGGAACAGACTACAGACTATCTGACCCTTTACAGAAATTAGCAAGCCTCTGGGCTAGAATATGAAAAGTATTTTTTTGTTTTGTTTAGTTTTGTTTTGCCAGTCCTGAGGCTTGAACTCAGGGCTTGAGTGCTGACCCTGAGTCATTTTGTGCTCAAAGCTAGTGTTCTACCATTTGAGCCACAGCACCACTTCCGCCTTTTTCTGAGTAGTTTATTGGAGAGAAGAGTCTCATGGCATGGACTTTTCTACCCAGGCTGGCTTTCAGCCAGGATCCTCAGATCTCAGCATCCTTAGTAGCTAGCTAGAATTACAATTGTAAAACATTGGTGACCCGCCTTTTTATAGGCAGCGGGTGGGGGAGGGGCAGGCTGTAAAGTGAAAGACTGTAACATAAGCATTACCATTTCACAAAAACAATTGAAGAAAAAAACATTTGAATACTTACTTAGGGTTCATTTCCCTAACATCAACTTATCTGACCTTTTCTGCTTGACTCAGACATATACTAGTTATTGCAAATAAGGGAAACCATGGGACCTATGTTTCTTTGGGCCTGCTTACTTTCTAACACATTTATAAGATTATTTTTTTGTTGTTTGTATGTCCCTCCCCCACGGTATAACCCCTGCTTTCACTGTATTTGATATCAGAATAATTTGTGGAGGGGAAGGGAAAAAACAAATTGTTTAAATAGGGATACAGGTGCACCCATTGCAACAATGAGATGTACAAATCATTTTGTCAAAAATGAACTTTACAACTTTGGTGGGGTGGGGGGAGGATGGGATAGGATGGGAAGGGGAAACAAAGGAGGAGGTACAATGCTTGATAAGAAATGTACTCATTATCTTGCCCATGTAATTGTAACCCCTCTGTACAGTATTTTCACAATAAAAAATAAAAACAATTGAAGACAAGAACAGGACGCTGGTGGCTCAAACTTGTAATCCTAGATACTCAGAAGGCTAGATATGAGGATCGCTGTTCAAAGCCAGACTGACAAGAAAGTCTGTGAGACTTATTTATTTATTTAGGAAATGAAACCTGGAAGACGTACGCTTACAGGGTCATTTCTTTCTTTATTTTTTAATTTAATTTTTTTTTTTTTTTTTGCCAGTCGTGGGGCCTGAACTCTGGGCCTGGGCGCTGTCCCTCAGCTCTTCAGCTCAAGGCTACCACTCTACCACTTGAGCCACAGCGCCACTTCTGGCTTTTTTCTTATGTGGTGCTGAGGAATCGAACCCAGGGCCTCGAGCATGCAAGGCAATGCTCTACCACTGAGCCACCTTCCCAGCTCTGCCACAGTGTTTTTTATTTTATTTTTTGTTTGTTTTGTTGGCATGGGGCTTGAACTCTGGGCATGGGCGCTGTCCCTCAGCTCTTCAGCTCAAGGCAAGTGCTCTACCACTTGAGCCACAATGCTACTTCTGGTTTTCTGGTGGTTAATTGGAGGTAAGAGTTTCAGGGACTTTCCTGCCCAGGGTGACTTTGATCTGTGATCCTCAGATCTCAGCCTCCTGAATAGCTATGATTACAGGCATGAGCCAGCGGCGCCTGACTAGACTTCTGTACTATTAAACTGTGAGTGCTCTTGTCCTTGATACCAAACAATCTTCAGTGCCTTCCTTTGTCTATGGTCTTGAATGAGTCCATGGACAGAGAGGAGGAAGTAAAATGGCAAAGGTTTATTGAAGAAAAAGGTAAGGAGAGCTTATGCTAGACAGGAGGGGTTCCAAGGGAGGGCACTGCCTGGGGTGGTTGTAAGGGGTTAATAAGGAATTAATTAGAAGTTAATAAGAGGTTATTAGGTGAGAGCAATGTAACTGTCAAGATCATTGGACAATCTGAGGGCCGTATCAGTCCCTAGGCCCAATTGGAAGCTCCTCTACGTGTGTCCTTTAGTCCCTCTGATTGGGTGCCCATTCTGCAGTACATGTCTGGGGTCCAATCATTATGCTGATCATTTGCAAGTCTTGCTGGGGTAATGGGACGTGATGTGATGACCAGGGACCATATGCACAACTATTCAGTCATGGTGATGTGATGTCTAGGGGCCTGCACACAGGACTCCTCAAGGCCATGGTGATGTGATGTCTAGCCCTACCCCATCTCCCATACAGGACTACTCAAGGCCACAGCAATGTGATTCCCTAGATGGCTGTTTTGTTTGTTTTCTTTGTATGAACACTCATGCTCCTGTGTGTGTGTAGTATCACAAAGACTTTTATGGTTATTCTAGGAGGACTATTTTAGTTATGAGAATTCACTAAGGTACAATACTAAAGAATATGGAGTCTAGGATTGTGTTTCTCAAAATGAGCACCTGAGGTGTTAGGTATCAAGGTAGCATCCCTTTCCTTGCTCTCTCCCAGTTTTTCCCTCCCCTCCCAACCCACAACTTGTGTAGTTCATTTTCAACATAGTTACATTGAGTATTATTTTCTTTTGGCAGTATTAGGATTTGAATTCAACCTTGAGCATTCAACCTTAGTGTTTTCTTTTGGGAAGATTGCATATGGGATGGGGATTGTACGGGTCCTGGGGCTCAAATTCAGGGATTGTGTACTGTCCCTGAGCTCTTCTCCTCAAGGCGAGTGTTTTACTACTTTAACCACAGTTCCCTACCTATTTTATGGTGGTTAATTGGAGATAAGAATCTCATGGACTTTCCTGCCTGGGTTGGCTTTGAATTAAGATCATTAGATCTCAGTCTCCTTAATAGCTAAGGTTACAGGTGTGAGCCATCAGAAGCGGTTCATTAAGTGTATCTTTACATGTCTATCTGTATTCATAATGTTTAGGGCTGTACAAAGTTTAGAAGAAAAGAAAAATGTGACTTTGTATTTTTATTTTTTGCTGGGGTCTGAATTCTGTGCCTGGGTGCTGTCCCTCAGCTCTTCAGCTCAAGGCTAGCACTCTACTACTTGAGCCACAGCACCACTTCTGGCCTTTTCTGTTTGTGTGGTTCTGAGGAATCAAACCCAGGGGGGCCTCTTGCATGCAGGACAAGCACTCTATCACTGAGCCACCATCCCAATCCTGATTTTGTTTTTTATAAGAAGACCTTATTATAG